GTGTGTGTATGTGTGTATATGACAAATTACCACAAAATTAGTAGTTTACAACAGTATAGATTTATTTATCTCATGTTTCTCATGGATTAAGAGTCCAGGCACTGTTCACTGTAGCCTCCACTTAGAGTCTCACAAGGCTGCCATCATGGTTTTGACCAGATTGCATTAATGTCTGGAGACTTGACTGGGGAAGAATCTACTTCTAGGCTTATTTAAGTTTTTGGCAAAATTTATTTAGTTGCAGTTAATATGATTGAAGACCTCAGCCCCTTCTTGGCCGCCAGCTGGAGTCTGCCTTCAGGTTCTAGAGGCTGCCCACAGTTCCTTGTCACGTGGGCTTCTTCGACTTGGCTGCTTATTTCAACCCTATACGGAGAGTATCTAGCACCAGTGTGCTAAAATGGAGTCATATAGTATATAAACTAATATTAATAGAATGATATCCTCTCCCCTTTGTCACATACTGTTGGTTAGAAGATAGTCACAAGCCCCTTGCCCACTCAACAGGAGATTACATAAAAGTGTGAACACAGAAGTGAGAATCATTTGGGTCACCTTGGGGGTTTGTTTGCCAGAGGTTTCAATGACCATAAGCTTAGATTATTTATGTAGGGAGAAATGTTCATGCTGGATGGAATACTAGAGGAGGTTCCTAAGGATATAAAATCGGTAAACTCTGCCAATCCTCCCCCATACATAAAACTAGCAGGAGTTTGCGTCTTGTGTGGCAGTAAAGGGAAGTCAGTAAGCCCTGGCACACACTGTGTCCCCTTTTCCCCATCCCTTACACTTTTGAAATCTGACCCCCTTTGCATTAAGTTGTAAAACTCTTGTCACTGTTCAGTATGCATTTACTTCAATGAAACATGGGTAAATTATTATTCATAAAATGAAACAAGATAAGCTAGATTAGGCTGTGGTTACAAATACCCCTTCCCAAATTTTAGTGTATTAAAATAACAAAGGTTTAAGTGTTGCTCATACTCCACATCTGTCAGGGCATTCTGCTTCCTGTCTTCCTCACTATCTGGAAAATTGCTGGTCTTCTGACATGGGAAAGAGTATATACAGGAAGCTATACACCTAGCTCTCAAAGTTTCTACTGGAGAAGACACATGTCACTTCTCCTTATGTTGACTAAAGTTAAGTCACATGGCCAACACTTAATTTCAAAGTGGTGGATCCTGAAAGAGAATTGTAAAGAGATGATGTACTGCACTGAAGACTACTAAAGAGGATGGGGGAGGGTGTTCCCAGTTAGAGACGGGAAGCCAGATCACCCCCAGATTGGAAAGAAACAAACATATATGCTTTCAGTGTTAAACCAGCTGAAGACAAATGAATCAAATCTTTATTTACTTAAATTAATCCTCTCCAGTGTTTAAGTAAATAACTTGGGGAAGTTCAAGAGCCAAGGACTTCCTTGTTTATAGCACCCTGCTCCGGTCTACAGTCAAGGGTCCACTTGTACACCTGGAAGAAAAATTAGAATGGTTTATATATGTACCAATGCTGCTCTCATACTTTTCATTTCCCTTTAGAACTCAAGTATATCTCTTCTTCCTCAGTGCATTGCATCATTTTGCTCAGCAGGGGAATAATGCAGGAAAGACATACTTTTATTTACTGATTATTGTTCTCCACAATTTTAACCTAGAGATAATATCATATATGTGCTATTATAAACAGAAGTTTTGAGAATGACCAGAGGAGACCAGATAAGTAGGTAAGTGGACGGATGGATGGATAGATAGATAGATAGATAGATAGATAGATAGATAAAGGGAATAAGAAGTATGCTAAATGCTAATATTATATATTATTCTTCCCAGAGCGAATGGTAGAGTTGGAGAAATGGCAAGTTTAAACAATCAGGATTTTCATTGGTGCTTCCTATTGGCACATCCATATTCCTTTTCTTGATTTCCTTTGTGTGTGTGTGTGTGTGTGTGTGTGTGTGTGTGTGTGATAGCACTTGCAATTCATTATCAGCAAAACTAAGACTCAGGAAAAGAAATGTCATCTTAAAGAGATTAATTAAGAATTAATTAATTAATATTTTAGAATTTAAAAAATGGGGAGGTTATGATATTCAAAATGATTATAATCAGTGAAACAAGTTAAAATGATGATAAGCATAAATTATTTTAATCGGATTATGAAGATTAAGTGCTTTTTAAAAATAAGATTTTCGTGCTCACTTTGGCAGCATGTATACTAAAATTGATACAATTCAGAGTTAACATGACCCCTGCTCAATGTTGACACACAAATTCATGAAGCATTCTATGTTTTTGTGTCAATAGTTAACAGTAATGTATTGTGTACTTGAAATTTGCAGAGAATAGAACTTAATATTTTCACTACACAATGGTAACTATGTAGAAATGATGGGTATGTTAATTAGTTAATTGTAGTGATCCTTTTCCAATGCATACATATAGTACCACATTATATTGTACACCTTAAATATATACAGTTTTTATATGTGAAAGATATTTTAATAGAGCTCTAACAATTAAAAAAATAAGACTTTTAAAAAAATAGGTTTGTTGTTTGGGATTTTTACTGATTCTCTAAAACCTCATGGAAAACTCATTCTAAAAATCAAACACTACAAATGAAAAAAACATAGTTAATGTTCATCCTGTGTGAAATATTGCATATGCTTATTCTGAATTTATGTGCTGATAGAAAAAAAGTTAAGTTGTAATTGATAATTTTGATTTTTTTTAAAATATATTTTTGGTTTTCATTTTTGTCTTTATGTGATGTTGTTTTCACTGCAGGAAAAAAAATGTTCATGTAATTATTACTTATATTGGTTGGGAAAATCTGATTTAATTTTCTGTGAATGACCAATTCTCTGCCATTCATGTGTACTTCTGAGACCACTGCTATAATCTATAATGAGAAGACTGTTGTTTTCCTTTGATGATAGATCTTACATCTTTTTGATGATAGTTCCAGCCTTTTTCTCTGAATTTCGGAGAAACTCTAGGAACTAGATTCATTTCCAGGTGTTGATAAAGGAGTAGAGGAAAGGAAACAATAATTCCAAGTGTCCTGAAAACTATCCTTTGTCTAAAATATTCAAACTTCAGTAAATCTCCCAGACCAACTGCTGAGCCCAGAATTAACTTAGAAGAACATTTCAGTGCTTCCACAAATTTATGGAAATATTTATATAGCATTTTCTGTGTCTATTAATAGGTGAGTTTTAGTAGATGCCCAGTGAGGACTGAACCCTCACCTAGCTGTCAGGACTGCTGATGGCTACCAGCTCTGAATTCAACCCCTCTCCAGCAATTGTTCTCAACTGAGGAGATCTGCCTTGCCTCAATCCATGTCCCCTTTTCAGGGCAGTGCTTTCAATGACTGGTTTATAGGGGTACATGAAAGAGAACTCCCTTGTTTTAAGACAGGATGATTCTGTAAGGTCCCAACCCCAGAACTTCTTCCCCTGCTTTTTCCCTCATAGTTGATCCCAGAGCACTTTCCAATGAACTCACTACATGAAAATCTCAGAGTCAGAATTTGTTTCCCTGAGCAACCTCCTTGTGATATGGATGTATAGTCAGAAAACAAAAGCACAAACATTCATTCACACCATGTATTTTTACAAATCCATCTTATGGGAACAACCTCACAGTCAGCACCTCTTGCGGCCCAAAATGAAAGGACTCAGAGATGTTCATGTACATTTTAAGGAATTCCTTTTGACCTTCCCACAAAGAATTAACAATTAGGGATATAAACTGTGCAGCTCTATTAGTAATTTCTCGAAAATTATCTGCTGACAAGATTAATGGCTTCTCAAGATGTCCATCGACAGATGACTGGATAAAGAAGATGTGG